TTTGCTGAATCTCAGGCAGTTCTTCTCTGCCCATCTCTGCAGCCTGCTGAGATCCTTCTGAAGGGCTGCACAGCCTCTGGGGTATCAGTCACTGCTCCCAGCTTTGTGTCATCAGTGACCCTGCTGAGGAGGGATCTGCCCTTCATCCAAGAATTCAATGAATTATGGTAAAAAATTATGGGCCCAGCACTGACCCTTAAAAGACACCACCAAATGATAGCCTTCACCTAGACCCTGTGCCACTGATTATAACCCTCTGGGATCTGCCATTCAGGCAGTTCTCAATTCACCTCAATGTCCACTCATCCAGCCCATATTCCTGAGGAAATTGCCTATAAGGATGCTGTGAGAGACAGTGCCAAAAGCCTTGCTGAACTCAAAGCAGACAATATCCAATGCTGCTCCCTCATCCACCCGGGTATTTGTTTCATCCTACAGTATATCTTATGTAACTAGTAAGATTATAAAAAAAAAAAAAAATAGAACTCCTCAAAAATTCCTTTACTGTCTTCAGTCCTTAAGTGACAAATAGTAAGGACCTCACAACTTCTTACCAGAAGAATTATAGTTCCTCCTTCTAAGGCTGCAAAATACAGTAAGGGATAAAGATGACTGCTGTGAGATAGAAATCTCTTGTCATGGAAAAATGGAACTCAATTAATCCACAAGTTTCTTACTAATAGGTCTATTACCATTTTGCTTGTCTTTTCTAATGCAATTCCTTGGGGTAAATAATATTTTCTTCTCTGCAGTACACACTCATTAAAACAAGTTCTAATTTCCTGTCAAAAGGTACCTGTTTTTACATTTTATATTTATCCACTCTCATAATCGGTCTGAAGGAGACAAGAAACACAGTTTAGATGTGATGTGATTTTGCCTAGAAAGAAGTTATTCAGAATCTCTTGGACATTGTTCATCTCAAAGAAGCTCTGAAGATGTTTCCAAAACAAATACATCAGTAATTATCTGCAGCTGCAGCTACTGAATTGCACAGAAAGATTAAAAGGATCATCTTTTCTGTTTAGACAAGTATTCTATGACCTTTATGTCTACATACAGACTAGAGCTAAAAGGAATGTCTTATAAAGTGACACTAAGAACTAAAACTTCAGAATCTCTATACACAGAACTTCCACTTGAAGTAGGTGGACCTATATACCTAGCATTCTAATGATCTGATGGTTCACACCTCAGGTGTATTTAAGTAACTTCTAGTGAGATAAAAAAAAGCAGTAGTAAAAGTCTCAGGAGAAGTTTCAGGTGAAGACATATTTCATTATATCTATCCCATTTCTCTCCTGAGCACAGATTGGCTATTGAGGGTGGAAAAGGACAGGAAGACAGGCATGCAGACCATTCAACCTGCTCACGAGCAAGGGGTCAAATGAACTGATCAATATGTTTAACTTTCCTTGAGCACCAGCCTCTTGCCTTGCTAGAGAGCCTCAAAGATCTCCTCACAAAAGCAGGACTTTGCTAGCATCTTAAGCTGTTTCACTGCCTTTTTCTTCAGCTGAATAAAGTCTGAACCACCATCTAAGAATCAGCAGCCTAGTTCCTCCAGTTGCACCTGTTCTCTGCAGCTCTGCTGTTTAGGACAATGAATGGGAAAACACCTATTGACATCTCATGGAGAATAATCTCCTCTGTAGAATGAAACATTTTAAATATCCGTTATGAGTTACTGGAATGGTAGGCATGGCATCATCTAAGCCAAATAATGGGATTTTAATATTCATAGCCACATTAAGTTACCTTTATAGGAACCAAATAAAGTTCCAACTGGGTTTTGGTCATATTAATTACACAGAAGACAAACCAGAATGCATACATTTTCATAGAAGAAAAGGGAAAAGATAAAAGGGAGAGAAAAAAAAAAAAAAGTAGTTTGCCCTTCCAGCTCTCTACACTTTCACTGGATCAAATATGTAGGATTATAATCTGCAAAACTCTCCCTGACATTCTTAGCTATAGATTCTAATTTCTTCACCAAATGATATTCAGATTTTTTTTCAAACTATCCAGTCAATGTTGTCTACTACAAACAGAACTAATTCTTTCTCACCAGGCAAACAGAATAAACCCTTTAATATTTTATATACTATAGAACACTCATACTTCCTCTCTTGACACTGTTTCCTCAATTAATTAACCTGATATGCATTGCATTTTCTGTCATTTCCTCTTTCTTTTCTTCTACACACCTCTGGATCTCGGAGTTTGGTGTCCAAAACAGGACACTATATAGTAGACGTATCCCTGAGCTCCAGGGAACCCAATGTCACTGAAGACATCCCTGCTCACTGTAGGAGGTGACCTTTAAAGGACCTTTCCAACCCAAACTATTCTATGATTATCTGCAATGAATAAAAAACAGCAAACCACCTTTACAGTTGAACTATGATCAACTTTTTGCAGAAATTAAGTTTTTCTCTAATTAATCACTAAATGGAATTTAATTTTAAAGCTGTTGCATGCTTCCTTCTCCCACAATCTAACTCCTCACTTCAGGTTTATTTGATATGATTAGTATTTGGGGTTTTTTTTCCTTTAGCAGAATTTTCATTTTTATTGACACAGTAAATTGTGAGTTAATCACATACAAGTATAGGTGACCAAACTATTGATTTGAGCAGCAGAGCTTTTATTAGCACTGCTGAGAGAACTGAAAGCAGATTAAGTTTACAGTCCTGCTCCAGCTGGGAAATCACCTGGGGAAAAAAGGCTACTCTGACAATTAGACATATTTGATATAAATCAAACATTAATGAAAAAAAAAAACAACAATGCTGTCTATTTTACAGAGTTCCATTTCAAGGTAAAGAGACACTTTCAGCTGTCCAAAAAAAAGGCCCTCTGCAATAACAAAAGAAGTTGTCTGTTGCAGAGACAAGAGTGGCAAACTAAGAGGGACACAGCCATTTGCAGAGAAAGCATGAGAATTTTTTATGTAAATCTAATATTTGCGTTTGAGATTATAAAGAAAAGAGGCAGTGCATCTACAGTCAGCACAAATGAGCACTAAAGAAATCCTAAAGTGTAAACATTAAACGGGTAAGAGGATTAAGCAAATGCTATTTTACAATTCCAGGTATTATTACAGGCATCAATCATAGCCAAACAGGCATAAGATTTTAATTAAACTTTATTCTTTATTTCAAAAAAAGATTAAAACATCTCTTTGTCTGGCACTGCCATGCTTCATCCCAATACTGTCCTTTGCATAGAAAAGAATTCAGATCCCATAGAACCTTAAAGGTCACCTACAGAAGGCTGCATTGAACGATATTGCCTTAGATGGTTTCTTCATTTTGGAGATTCTTTCACACCATTACACATTTTGCAAGAACTCTTAATAGGTGCTCAGTCATAAAACAGCAAGAATATAGATTTGGAAAGACAAACCCGAGTCTATATATTCCAATCATTCAGCAGAAACAGGACACTCTTCTTGCACTGTAATCTGTCATATAGCAAAGTATCATAAGCAGCCCTTGAAATCTAACATGTACTGAGACTTTATTCAGTCTTTCAAAGTGACAAAAATGGCTACATTGCTGTCACTCGTGCTTCTTGTGCTATAAGAAACAAAAATCCATTTAATTTCTTTTGAACACTACAATAATTTATTACAATATTCTTCATGTGAGTTATGGTCAAGGAAAAAAATGAAGAGATTCCATCACTTCTGGTAAAAAATATAGAAAATAGTTTTCTACAACAAAGGCATTTCAACTTTCTGAGAGTAAACTCAAAAGGTGCAAGCCCAAAATTATGTGTAGCACATAAGCCTACCCGCAGCTGTAAAACCCACATACAATTTTAAAGCAAATGAAGAATCAAAGCCAACCAACCAAAATACTCAAAAGATACCATTCAACAGAAAAATTTTGAAAATTAAGACCTTTAAAATAGCTTTGACTTCAACACTTAAACAGTAACTATTAAAAATTTATCCATTGCATTCACTCTTTACATATCAAGCAACAATTATACTTGCCTCTTGTACCTCTATTTTTCAGATGTATAAATCGTCATATACACTATTATCAAAATCACCCAAGGATACCTGTACATGTGCATTTATGTCATTTACCTCTAGCAACATGACAAAATAAATTCTGCATCTACCCAATTACTATAAATCCCTGTAATTAAAGTAATATGCCAAATGCACCTTATTTTTTACTATTTCTCAATCAATACTGAAAAATCTGCTCTTTCAGCAGCAAGGACCAGCACATTAGAGCTCACTGTGGAATGCACTGTCAATTCATGTTAAAAAGATGCAATTTTTTTTATTTTTCTGTCACACTCACACACTAGCAAGAACATTTTCAGCTAGTAACAAAGTTAACAGATGAGAAAAAAAAACCCCATGAACAAAACAAAACCACAAACAAAAAACTGAATGACCAAGAAGGTCTGATACAATTTCAAGTCTGGCTCAAAGCTCATGAAACTGAATTTGATTTTAGAGAAAGATACAATACTGAGATAAAGACCAAGCAGTCTTGGGATGAAGCAAAATTTAGACAATGTACATATATACTTAAGTTGAAAAAGGTAGTAGAGGAAGAAACACATATCAGCTGTATAAAATCAGATACAAAGAAAACAGATTCTAGATTAAGGCAATTGACAATAACAATTAACCAGTAATATTCTAATTTATATGCAATTCTGCCTTAAAAAAAGGGGGGCAATAATGTGCACACAATTCTTCTATAGAAATACTAGCATGCACAATCTGTTACCTCTGATGACTCTTAAACCCTTTACTGATGTGCTCTCTGGATGTTACTTCAGAATTATATTAAAAATAAGGTGTTTTTAATAATACCTGCTTGTATTAAAGACTAACAAGTTGACAAGCATAAACCACTAAGGCATTATGTGTACTTCATCATACTACTTCTTTATATAATTACAAAACTACTCACAAGGATATCAGGAAGAAGCTTTTCTTTGCTTAGCAATAAGAGCCAGATACTCACAAAGAAGGGTCTTGGACCAGATCTTTAAGGTTTATCCCACTACGATCCTCGGCAAGGTTCCTGAAGCAACTGTCACTCACTAAAAAAAATAGAAATAAAATTAAAATAAAACAAAATAAAACAAAAAAATAAAATAGGGGAAAAGTTTAAGAACGGAACACGGATCATTTGATTAACTAAAAATCTTTTTTGGTGTTGGGTGGAATTTGAACAATCATATATAAAGTCTGATTTTCATTGAGGTGCCACCTAATTCAATGATAAGTCAGCTCAATGGAAAGTGTGAAACACTGTATAAACTTATGCAGAAATAAACTGCACAAATTTCAGGTGGTGTCCTCACTGCTTTTCCACCTGGAGCTACAGGAAATCTCTAACACATCAATTCACAGGTATACACTTATCCATACATTTAACAGGAGAGTCTTTAATCATTATAATAATAATCTTCAATATACTTAATCAGAAACATTGAGAGCTGTTAAGTATTTAAGTTCATAGCTATTCATGGGTTAGCAAAAATGGTTAATATGAGCAATAACCAAAACAAGTAATTAAGAGCAAAGATTTATTCAATTAACTTAAAAATAACTTATAAAATGCATGTAAAGCAGCTAGTTACTGTAATAACTGAAATTACAGTAAATGTCACAGAAATTTTAAAGAGTATTAAGCACACTAACTAGTGTGCTTTCATTTTCTTCACTAATTAAAAAAAAATTAGAAGACACCTAAATCTCAAACTCCAAATTTGTTCTCTAAGCTAAGTCTCTCAGCACATGTACTCCAATCCTAAAAGCCATCTAATTTCACTTAAATAACACCACAGTCAGTTTAATAGGTGGAAAAAGAGGAGTGGTACAAATACTTTTAGAATAACACAGTATCAGTTTAAAGGAATTAGTTATTTCTAACTACAGCAAACTTTCTGAAGGACACACAGGTTGTTATATGGAAAATCAGTGTAAGGTCAATTTCCCTTAATAGGCAAGGTAATCAGTGAGACAAAGTTTATGAAGAAACGCATTATTGCACATCTTCCAGCACAGAATACAGCCTTACATTAGATGAACAGGGATGCGTTTAAATCACTGCAAAAGCAAGTGTTCCTACTTCTTTCTCTGTAAATGCAAATTGCTTATTTAATTTACATCTCCAAGTATTCATGTGCATCACCAGCACCAAGAAAATGCAAATCATTCCCAAAATACATTGTTTTCACAGATTACAACACGTACAGTGACAGACCTACCTAACATACTACAGAACTGCAAAATGTTTCTACTAGTACCTCTCATTGGCAATGCCTCTCACAAGTGTGAAACCTGTTAAGTCTGCTGGGAAGGACAAGTATTGGAGGAAAGCATCCCAGAAGATGAGGCAGGTGCAGCTGATGAAACAGGTAGTAGCACTGGCCCTCAGAGAAAGCCTGACAGTTTATGGCTGTGAAAAAGGTTCTTGTCAAGTGCTGAAAGCATTCACCTCAACACTGTAATATCAAAGGCACCCTAAGCTTCTCTCCCCCACTGCCTCTGCAAACAGTACCTAACAATTGCCTCAGCACAATCCCTGAAAGCCCTCAGTCTTTCACACGGACTCTGCTGGCTTTGAGGTACGTGTCTCAGCTTCATTTTGAACAACTACCTGTGCTAACCAAGCCTGGACTCCCAGCTTGTTCCTCCCATGACAACTTAACCATTGCCTGTATAACAAACTGCGAGCTACCCGTACTGAGCTCACAAGCACTTCCCCACCACCTGGGAAGCTCTGAGTGAGCAGCTGGAGCCTTTGGGAATTTTTCATTTCCATCCCACCTATTACACTGAACACTCGAGTGGATCTCTTAACTCCTTAGTTAAGGGAGCAACTCCAAGATCAGCAGATCCACAAACAACTACACGTTAGATTTTATGTGAGAAAAAATTCCCACCTACATTGATATTTGATAGCTTATGTTTGCTTCTTGTCAAGTTTGGCAGCAAAACAGCAAACAGAACATTTTACCTACAGTTCTGTCATACATTCTACATTGCCAGTGTACCAACATATCTCCTATGCTAACACAATACATCATGAATGAAAATTGTGCTCAACACTGTTTTTTCACTACTGACAATTCAAATATTTTTTAAGCATTAAATATTTAATCTAAACATGCTGTATTTGTCCTCCTATTTCCTCATGGAAAGCAGTCACAGTGATAATTGAGGAAGCTAGTGTCTTTATCTCAAAAGTAATTTTTCATTTCCCCTTTCAAAAACAATATATCATTATCTTATCAGTAAAACTGACCATTATTTTTAACTCATGATTTAAAACACAAAATGTGTCTCAAAAAATGCTTAAAATGAATGCCTAGATTTGTCAGAGACAGCCTTTGCTTTACTTGTCTTAACATAAAACCAATATTATAACCCTCTTTTCATGAATGAATTTTAAAATTGCAAACCTTCCCTCTACTGAGCAGACCTCGGCAATAAAACCATTTGCTAAAAAAAAAAAAAAAACAAACTATCTCGACATCAAATATCTACAAACTTGGAAAAATGTATAAACCTCATCTCCCTTGTTTTCTTCTTTGATTGCAGGAGAGTTAGAACAATATTAAGCTGCAAATTGGTAAGCAAATCTCTTCTTAGGGTACTGTTCTAGCCAGATTTAAAAAACACAGATGCTACAGTTAAATGTAAAAAAAATCCAAACCCGGTTTTAACAATCAAGAATTCCAATAGCTTAGTTAATACTAACAGTTGACTGTAACTGTCAATAAAATGACTAGTATGGATAGCAGCAGGAGAGTTTCTAGTGAGTGGAAATAATTCATTGGAATAGGCACTTGGTCTGCATACAAGCACAGCCCTGCCCTTTCACATCCTTGCAAACTCTTACCATAAATAAGTAAAATAAATGTTCAGCAATAAATGCAAGGTGGAAGCAATCAAGCAGAGCAGGTAGTCTATTTCTCACAGCTTAGAAAACTTTAAATCAACACTGCACATACTTAAAAAACAACATACACTGTAATTGAAATGCAAGCTCTTTATTTTAAACAGGAGAGTGAAACTGATGGTATGGCAGTAATATCAGGGTGTCCAACGGTGCTTTAAGGTTTGAGGGAAGAAAACAGACAAAAACTTCACATCACAGCCACAGTCAGGCCATGCCTAACTTCTCCTTGAAGCATAACCAAGGGATACTTTTGCATAAGACATCTATATGAACAAAATCCCCATTCAGGGTTTTATTGTCTTGTTCCAAAATTAATTGTTTCTTTTTTAACCCTCTGAAACATTATAAAAGCTATAAGCATTGTTGAGCAGATGGTTACTAGAAAGATACAGAACTGTTAGCTGTTCTTCTCTACATACACATCAAGTGGCTGAGCCTCTGGTCTGCAGTACACCCCCCACAGGTACTTCCTTAGAGACATGGTAAATTACTACAAAAACAACACCCTAAAGTACATTTGCTCCATGGAATATTGCACATACAATGACAGCCTGTAAGGTGCCAGAAATGTTCTTAATACAATAAATTTTGCCACAAATATCACAGGCATCAACTGAACAAAACACATAGTCCCAAAAACATCACAGTAAAGCAAAATCCCTAAACATGCATTGAACAGTTTGACTTCCAAGTGAGCTGTTACATGTAACAAAGCAAACAGGACTTAGCAATAGCTCCAATTTTCCCAACATTCATCCTACTTCCAGCTCCTGGTTTCTATTACTGATGTTCTGTTTCTCACCCCTGTCTAGTCTTGTGCCTAGGAAGCAACAGAGGTGGGAAGCTAATAAGGGAATACAGCTCTCACCTGTCAATTACACAGCATACAAAATTCTCGACAGAAAGGTTAAAATCAGCATTCACACTCTAATGTGCAAACATCCAATTTACAACAGTTGTGAAGCCTTCCCACTTGGCATTTGTGAACTTCTAAATTTGTCCATGTGATTTTTTTTTTCCCTTTGCTTTCTTTAGCAGGGTTTTAAATGAGACAACACTGAAGAGAAATAGATTAGCCTGCTGACTTTCAAAATGAGACGTTTTGTAATTCTGAAGGCAAACTAATATTTTCTTCAAGTAGTGGCAGGTCATAATCTATTACAAAATGTATCCTTATTTTTAAAATGTCCTACAATTTGAAAACCATGTAGTTATTTAAAAATATCACTTAATCTCTCTCATCTCACAGAAAGTACTCCCAGTAAAGAGCCTACTTCAAATCAAATCACTTCCAAATCTACAGCTGATAAGAGTGATTTTCATATTTATATTAGTTAGAAAAAATGCAATAATCACTCAAAAAATGAACAAATATCTATAGTTTAGTAAAGAAAATTAAGTTTACTTCCCCCATATCTAAATATGCAATTCCAGAAAACTACCTTTCAGATTCTCCTCTAGGTTCCCAGAATTCAGAACTATTTTCAGATCAGATGTGACTGCCTGTTGATAAAAATCATCTTGACAACAAAACACTACACTCACGAGGACAGTCACTGGTGCACTATTAGTTTGAAAATACATGGACTACAACCTTGAACAGTATGGACTGAAATATCAGTTTCTTATTTGTCTTTTAGAGATAATATCTCCTAAGTTCAGTTCTTTTTCTTAGGACCTCTTCATCTACCATTGCATTTTTGACAAGACTTTATCTTACCCCTCTTTTTATAGGCTCATTTACATATTTAGGCTTTATAACAGATTCATAGAATAATATTTATTGCACATGAGATGTTCCAAAAAGTACTGGTCTAGCACAATGTTGTAGTCCAGTCTGGTTTTGCTTGCAACAAGCATTATTCAGAAGACTTGTTCCAGATTCAGGTGGTTCTGTTCCATGTACTGCATGTAAATGTTTCAGGATTGAAGTATTTTGCTTTTATGGGCCCAGCCTTATACACAAGGCAGCAAGCAACTTCTTTACTTTTTACAAATATTGTTGACTTCAAGAAATAAACTCTGCTAGGGAGGCTTAGAGTCTTAGGGTTCATGATATAGCAAGGTAACTGAATTTTCTCTCAGACCTCAAAACCTCTCTCTTGAAAAGCCTGTTCTGCAAAAACACAG